TGGCCACTACCAGAAGCCAGGCAGGGGTCTCCAAGTGGTGTTCACGAGGGCCTTTCCCCACCTGAAAGGTACTTGTCCACCTCTGCATCTCCAAGTGGCAGTGGTTTCTAGAGTGTTCCCCAGGGTCTTTCCCCACCAGAAAGGTGCTTGACCAGCTCTGGCTCCAAAAAATGTTGATTCTTCATTTTATAGTGGCCTGGGTGCTGTGGGCCTGGCACAGGTGGCCACTACCAGAAGCCAGGCAGGGGTCTCCAAGTGGTGTTCACCAGGGCCTTTCCCCACCTGAAAGGTACTTGGCCACCTCTGCATCTCCAAGTGGCAGTGGTTTCTAGAATGTTCCCAGGGGCTTTCCCCACCAGAAAGGTGCTTGACCAGCTCTGGCTCCAAAAAAAGGTTGATTTTGCATTTTATAGTGGCCTGGGTGCTGTGGGCCTGGCACAGGTGGCCACGACCAGAAGCCAGGCAGGGGTCTCCAAGTGGTGTTCACCAGGGTCTTTCCCCACCTGAAAGGTACTTGGCCACCTCTGCATCTCCAAGTTCTCTCAACCTTCTACTGCTCCAGGTTCTCTCTATAGAATCAAACCCTCTGTCCTCTATAAAATGCCCTCAATTTTCATATATTCTCTATAAAATGAGGGTGGTCAACCTAGTGATCCATCAATATATGATTCTCTCACCTCAGATATCCTCAGAATGGATCTTTTTCAGGTAGGTTGACTTTTGATTCTATAGAAAATATCTATAAAATGCTAGGTCATTTTGGAGCTCGACCTCCCCCATTCTATAGGGGTTATTCCCTGGGGTATTATATATCAAACACTGGACGAAGGATTCTTTGACAAGACCTTCATTTCTAGGCTCCACATGAGTCTCCAACCGGTGGTGAGATGTACCTCTCATTCTACTTTGCATTCCTCCACCAAACAGCTCCAGTCTGCCACGGTCTGCCAGGCTGCTTGTCGTTGCCCAGGGTCTCGTTGTTCTGGGTCTCTTCCAAGGTGTTGTCGATGAGATCCATCAGGCTGGTGGGATTGGAGAACAGGTGAGGTCGCTTAGACGACCGCTCGAGGAGCTTGCGCGCGGAGCGAAAGCGCGCGGAGCTTGAGGTGGTAAAAGCGACCACGAGAGGTCGGTCGAAGCAAAGAGGAATGGTCAGAAGTGTCAATTCTTGGAGCATCTTGGGATCAAATCCTTCCACTTTAGAGATAGTGTTGTCCAATGGTAAAATGATGACATGGCCGTACTTCAAACATCTTCTCCATGCTTGAGCTAAAGAAGCCAGGCAGCGGCAGGTGCAACTTCAAATCCACACTAGCATTGAAAAAACGTTGGACGACAGGAAAAAAGAAACAGGACTGCTGGATGAAAACAATCCGATTCACAAGTTGGTAGAAATACAAATTCTTGTCAAGCAGTGCAATTGGGTCAAACATGGTCTAACTATCCTCAGCAAATCTTCTCAAACACATCTGGATTGTCCCAGACTTCTATAGACATTGAGCTGAGAGCTGGTGCTAAGGGGCATCTGCAACAACAGGATGGCCCAGACGTCCAAGTCTACCCCCATTTGATCTGTGCCGATCTGTTCCCCAGGAACATGATTGGTTCCGTGGATCCGAGTTCCACCCGGTGCCCGTCGCGACTCCTCTGATACTCACTTCCGCGACGAATCAAGCAGGTTCAAACTTTCGTGGCAGATACGGCAATGATGTACCCTCCATTGACCCCGGCCATGTTGGATTGATAGTAGATGGCACCAATCCCCAAGTCAGGTGGTTTCTGGACCCCATCGACTCAGGTGCCATGGGACTCGGAGCGTCGCTGAGGTCGTTCCGTTCTCGGTCCCTGGTGCCGTTTTCCAGCACGCCCAGCAAGGCATCTCGGAGCTCCTCGAGCTGGGGTATGACCAGATGGGAGGTATGACATGGTTTCACAGTATGACCACAGCGTGTCTATCTGGGAGTGGAGATGAGGGGCTTCAGGCCGAAAAGCTTCCGAAAAGCTTCGTGAGCTTTTTCAGGCGTTCTGTTCGCACGTCTGCACCATTTGGGAGGGGCCGTGCAGGCAGGTAAACAGCGGCCTGGCCTTTCTTGTGCAAATAAAACGTCCCAAGAACATCCAACAACAATCCAAGGGCTATGGTGCCGAAGATTTTGGTTATCAGGTCGGTCCAAAAGATATAAGAAATGTCCAAGTCCTGCAACTGGAAGCGCATCTCTGCTGCTTGACCTGGTCAATCCATTTGAGGCGCAGTCTTTCTTCACCCGGATGAACTCGGGGGTTGATCTTTTTGAACTGGAATCCTGGAGAATTCTGGGGCATGAAGCACCTGCACACTCACATGCGCATAATTGCAGTGCAGTGAGAACGGAAGGTCAGGTGTATGACACAAATCTTGAACTTGTAGTTTCCACTAAGATTTGCACACCATGAAGACTACCATGAAGATCACGCGCTGCCGGCGCGCCGGCGCGTAGGACTCTATGAACCTCGAAGCTCTTCGGCTTCCCGGCCTTCCAAGCACTCCACCACCAGCGCCTTTGCTGCGAAGCGCTCGCTGGGCGAGGCTGGCAGCCTGGCCGAAGCTTGCAACCTGGCAAGGTCCAGGGCTCTAGGGAGCTTGGCAGAGACCTCCTCAGGACCTCTTCAGAAAACTTCACGACTGCTTTTCAGAAACTTTAGGGATCTCACCACCCGCAGCTACAGCAGTTACAAAAGGGTGTGAGGATATGCTTCATCCAAGATGATTCAGTTCAGTTCACTCCAAGTGGTTCTTTATATATCCCCCTTGGTACCGACGGCAGGGCTTGATCTACAGGATCTATGGGATAACCAAGGGGGATGTTCTTTTCCAGTTCATGTCAACTTCAAGATTTGGATAAAAACCGCCAAACATCTGATGGCTGTTGGCCTAGGTCAACAGCAAGGCGCTCGTTCAGAGTCTAAAGGCGCTCGTGCACCCAAGCGCTTCCAACAATCATGGAAGTGGAACTAGTAGCGTCCTTGCTCCTAGCAGTATGGCCAGGAGCCCCTAGTAAGTAGCTTCTTGTTCCTCGTAGTAATGCCAGGAGCTGCTAGTAGCGTCCTGCTACATTTGATCCACCAGCACCCGGAATTCCAGCCCCGCCGGGGCCCAAGGAGCGTTTGCAAAGCAGCACGCCAATCCTTGCTGGCGCAGCAGGCTGCCAGGAGGGAATTCCAGGTGACAGAGGAGGGCACCAAGCGCAGGAGGCACATCCTGTGAAAACGAGAAACGCCAAAAAGAGGGAAAACACCGCGACTACCCATAACTCATCACCCTCCTTTCAGAAACATGAACGTTCCTTTAGTTATATAGAGGAAAATGCAACCCCAAAAGACATGGCGGACTTCCATTGTTGGGGCGGGGGAAAAATCAGGTGATTGAACCACTGGTCAGCAGTCCATGTTCTGTTGCCCTGGTTTGGGCAAGTTTTAGCAAAAGCATGCAAAATCACCTACTGTTGCTCTTTGGGCAATGCTTTTCCGAGACCAAATCACCAACAGGTCTCATGGCCACACATGGCGCATGATGTATAGCCCGGCTGTAAGATCTGCCCCAAAATGCTGCTGTCGCCGGACTCCAATCTACCAGTCCCTCTCCTTCCAAGCACACCTTGCGCGCTGGAGACATCCGCGGCCACGGACATGGCTGTAATGGCCGCATTGCCTCGCCGTGGGGTCACACCACAGGTGCCGCCCAAGAAAGCCACCCAAAATGCCTTGATCCTTCTTGCTATTGCTTAGAATCTTACATAGTTTTAGTTGCGAAATGGTACCAGGCTATATAAAAATCAAATCTCCTCCAAATGTTGGATCTGAATATCCTTGATCGTTCTTAGATATTCTTGGGTCGGTGTAATTGTTGTAATACGTATGTTGTAATTATGAATCAGTGGAGTTCCCAGCTCATAAATGCAACCGCAGCTGCAAGAGATCAAACTGGGCATCAGTTCCTCCTCCTCTCTCAGCTTCAGCACTTGCAAAGCCTCAGATCAACCTAACAGGTTCAGCAGCACACCGTTTATGAGAAAACTAAACGTAATACCACGTAATCATTGCATAAATATCATCCATATAAATTGTAAACAAATATATATATATATACATCACAAACACTGACGCCATGACGGCCACAACACAACCTCCTAAGAATGCCATCCAGGTACTCGCGCCCATTGCTGGCCACTTGTGCAAGCACTCGTCACCTGAGTTGCAAGCGATTTGGAGTTTTTTGAAGGGGCTTGATTATAACACAGGTGGGCAACACAACAACCAGGAAGTGATATATACACGAGAAACTCTTTGACAAGGTTGCTATCTGAAAAGGCGGTTGTTCTGATTCGGAACATGCAGCTTTTGGTTTGGCACGATGTTCGGCCACCGGTTCACCGGTCCCAACTACCGGTGTTCCTCATCTCTCCCTCGCTCCCTCGCCGGCGTTCCGCATCGCACAGTCCTTCTTAAGGGGCGCGCCGTCAACAAACACAAACACACACATGACATCTTTCGCCACAGAAACCGTGTTGAAGGCCACGTCATCCGCACGCAGGAAGGTGTGTTTCAAGGATAGCAGCATCTCCAAGGCTTCTGGCCACTGTTTCGCTTGCCTCAGGCAGCCGCATGGAAAGCCATACCGCGTGGGGTGAGGTGTGGCAGCCACGAGGGTTTCACTGATTAGTCCTCTTTGCGATTTTGGTCTCATACATTTGTTTGCTTGGTTTTTTGGGGCTGTGTGTCGTTCCATTGGCCACTGGGCACTTTTGGGCCCCTAAGCAGGCCAACCGCCGCATGTTGGGAGCAAGGGCTAGGTGTTCACCTCGACGATAAACATGACCTGTTGACTGTTGAGGGCATCGGGAACCATGCATTATAATATATCTTCGCCACATGCCGGGGTGATATCCAAAACCTTCCTGCAAAACGAAAGGGACTGTGAATCAAAACAGCAACTAACTCGCCTAGCCCGTCAGGCCTCCCCCTCTAGCAATCCTGATATTTGTGGGGGCGTCTCTGATTCCAAACTCTGCAAGTCTTCCTTCAACCCGTCGAGTCAGCGGAGCGTCTCACAAGCGCTTGCCACTGAGCTAAAACTGATGACAGTTGGCCGCAGCTGAGCGTCCTGGCACTGCTGGCCGTGGACATCCCAGATCGGAGCAAGGTGCGAAAACTACTCACTACAGCAGGATGCAGCAATGCTTTTGCGAGTTTTTCTGCAGTAAAGCTACGGCCTCAAATTAGATCCGTACAGGACAAGGATATGATTGTACGGGATCTGGATATGTCCAAAAAATATATGGGCAGAAGGCCGAAGACCCCAAACAGTGTTAAGGATTAAACTATATAATAAGCCAACTTCTGCAGTCTAGAGCACACACATGAGAGCACGCACAAGCACGGGTGTGAGTGAGCACACATAACAAAGCACACCTTTTGAGAACACACATGAGAGGACCATGTGAGTAAGCACATGAGCACACGTATGACAGGTTCACAGATTGCTCCACAAAATCTGCATTTCCGGGTTCACGAAATACAGTGGCTGAAACGGGATCTGCGCCAGGAAGAATTGAGGGCACTACCAATACTCAAATCATATATATATACGTAATTATTATATATATATGGGTGTTTGCACTGCGCCTTCGAGGATTGCAAAGTGCCCGCCTGAAACAAAATCTGCACATCGAGGTTTACAAACTGCTGTTCCTGCCACAAACTCTCCATGCACTTTACCCAGCCTCAACTACTACCGTAAGAACCCCTAGTGTGACCAAACTGCTTGAGGATTAAAGCATATGTTGCAAATGCACAACTCAATGAGGTCAAGGACCTGGTTTAGCATGGTTTAGGACCTGGTATGGATGGATCTGTAGGACCTATTGAATAACACCATGCAAAACAAACTTGCATGGGTGTCGTGGGTTGGAGGTGACAGCAAGCAGGTCCTGCAACTGCTCGAGCAAAGCCAGCGCCAAGTCCTCAAGAGAAGAAAACATGAGGTGAAAAGGCTTGGAAGAGCAAAGGGCAGGAGAACATGGAGGAAAAGAAACCCTTGAACTGATGTAGACTGTAGCCAACTGGGCGTAGCAACCAGGGTGACAACTCTTAAGAAACCCCGGTCCGGTGGAAACTGTGTTTAGTAACTATCTTGTCGGTGTATGGGAAGTAACATCGCAACTCTTATGAAACTCTTGCTATATATATATAACAACTATATTATATAAGATCACAACTCTTAGGAACTCTTATGAATTCCCGATGTTTCACCATGTGTATATTAATCAGTTTCGCTTTTCCCTCGAAACTGGCGGCTCGTGTCGTGGATAGCACTTCCTTCGTGCTGCCACAGCGTACCTCCATCCCACTGAGGCTAGGGTCCCACTGATGACCTTGATCACAGGCGGCCATCGTCGCATTGAAGCTCACCACGTCGGCGGTCAGTCCATACTGAGGAAGCCTTGGTGGTTTCGGTCTCCGGTGGCTCCACTCTACCCCAACCCATGCATGGCCAATGCATGGCATATTTACCTAGGAAGCAACATCTGGTTGGCACGTGAAAAATACCAGTCAGTGGGTTCAATCATCCCATGTGAAGGTTGAAAACAAAAATCTCCGAAACCATCACCTAGAAATGCCATGCCATGCTTACAAAGGCCATGGGCACCTGGATTTTGCATTTTGTAAAGGAACGAGTGGACCATTTTATAAGGGGGCTTTGTAACCCCTATAGAAATGCCATGCCATGCCATGCCATTTCGTGTCTGGGAATGGAGTGTTATGGAACGGTCTGCATGGAGCGGCCCATCACCGCGTTTGGGGAGGTGAACGACGTGTTGGGAAGGCTGTTGATGTGTATGTTTGCATATGAGATGTGTATGTAAATATATGTCAATGTGTATGTAACAAAAAGAGGGAGAGAAAAACAGATGGACTCCTGATTTACCATGATTTACATGTTCTTCCATTCCACGCTGCGATCGTTTGCACACCCTGCCGTGGGCTCTGGCTTTGGTCTGCTCAAAAAAATGCGAGTGCGCGATGCTAGCTCATTTTATGTCGTCTGTTTGGAAATGGAGTATGGTATGGATGATTGGTGTTACAGCGGCCCTCCCGGTCACTGTCCTTGACCCGCCATTTTTTCCTCCTCCGCCGCGTCACGAGAAGAGAAGCGCTAAAGCCCGCTCCCATTCCCCTGCCTGTCGAGAGCGCTGCTTCATTCGGTCACAACTGATGTTGAGCACCCACTGCCCAAGACCCTCGTTGTATGCAATCGTTCTCCCAAGCTCTCAATGAAGAAGATCGACATAGAGCTGATACTTTGGAGCTGATACTATAGAGCTCATTTGTCAATCTTCACCTGTCATCAGAGCCACGTCCCGTCCTCGCGCCTCAGCGCAAGCAGTCATGGCGGCGTTCATGAGAGCCACGTCCCGATCTGCGGCGAGGTCCCGTGTCACGTTTCACATGGAAAGGATCTCAACGCCTGGAATGGCTATTCCAAACGGCGGCTATGCTAAGCCCAGTTCCGGAACTGAGATGGAGTATGTTCAATGATAGAGCTGCTTCAAACGTTTTAGACTTACTGTAGGCATCTTGGCGTCTCAACTCAACAACCATGGCCCCTTCCAATCCCTTCCATGCACAGGTGTTCAAGGCATGTAAGTCTGTCGAGTGGGTCACATACAGTTCAATCTGCGCCAAAGAAACATTTGCCGAGCCCAAGTGCCCAGTTTTCACGGTTGATCAGTTCCTCACCCAACAGCTGGCCCAGCTGCTGGGTCAAATCCCACCATCTGGACTGAAACAAGTGCCTTTCGAATGGGAAAGGTAAAGCAAGGCTTCTTCCCAGGTTCCTGGCGGCCAAAGTGGTGCAAGCGGGAAGTCTTCGTTGCCCCTTGCGTCACCTCTGGCTTCTCGCTGAAGAGGTTGTTCAATCCAAATATGTAGGGTACAAAGGTAGTAACTGTCTTTTTCACACCATCTTTTCACCTGCCACTTCCACCATTACCCGTCAACATGATGTGTAGGGCCGTGTGTGGATGCGAATCGTCCGCAAGGCAAGTACCTCCGGGCTCCCCCCGAGCCCGGGCGCCCCGCGTCATCGGCGCGCGAGACGGGCTCGCACGCCCAAAACGCCTGCAGCTGTGATGCTGGAAGTCCAGGTGTGCAAATCTGGCTCGATCCTTCCAGCAACCCAACTGATGGTAGATACTTGAAGGCGCCCGAAGAGACGATGATCGATGTCTGTAGAGTCTAAACGTGTATAAACATCGCTGCTGTTTGCCATGCACGTGGATGTGGCAAACAAGAAAAACGGTGCGTGCGCACAGTTTTTAGCTGTCTGCCCTTTCATGCTTCTGTGCCACACGTGCCTAGAACAGCATGACCCAAAAGAGACTCCATTGTGGCGGTCCATGAGAAGCATAGGAGTCTGGCCAGTCAAACAACACCTGCCCCACTCGCCTGCGCCGCTCCATCGCGGTGTGGATTAAGGCTGGCACCGGCCCCTGGGCCAGGATAGTATTGAAAGAGATCACGTCGGGAGCTAGGCGCCTCAGGCAAAACACGGCAGAGGGAAGATCATGGGGATGCATCGATCAAAACACACGAATCAAGCGATCAGGCTGAGCCAAGGAGCCAAGGTCCAGCACAGACGACTCCAAAAGTTTCTTCAACCCAACATGAGCACCTCTGTTGATCTGTTTTCCGGGTGCTACGTTCGTAGCTTCTTGTTACGTTCGTAGCGCTCGCCTCCAACCTCATAGCGATGGCCTCCAACTTCAACCTAGCTTCTGGATTGTTACGAGTTGTGCCCACCATGGTGGCCCCAAGAAATCATATGTTGAACATTGAGGGTACCGAGTGGTGTCGATGTGCATACGATTCCGGTCTTTCTAGATGGTTAGCGAGGGGGTGATGCAAGGGAAAGGCAGCACTTGGACCAGGGGTGAACTTGCAAAACCGCTCCTCAACGGGATAAGCGGTGGTCAGGGTGTTTCATGGTTTTGCGTTGGATGTTTCCACTGTGGTCTAGCCACTATGGGTGCAGTGCGGAGTTTGTGAAACCAAGACTTGCACATGTCGACCGACACCCCAGCGACTGACCAGATGTGGTCACTTCCATGGGAAGATATGGGAAGTAAACTTCACTGACTGTCAATGCATTATGCAAAACGCTCCCTTTGCTAACCCAAGATGAAATCTGCCAGAAAGTGTAAGCGAATTGCCTTACAGTATGAGAAACTCAATCCTCCGGAATCTTCCACGCCTGTACCACTGCACATGGTCACACATGCCGCCATGCTGCCTGCTTTCCAAATGTTCCAGCAGAGCCAGGCTCTTGCACCAGTTACTCGTGACCTCCCGCTCTGGGTCGACCACAAATGGGGCAGCAAAAGGTCGAACACACAGCAAAAGGTCCACTCCAGGAGACTCATCCTATAGAGGTTAAGTGACCTGAACTAGGACCCATAACCAGGGGTACCTATAGGATAGTCTAGTTCGGGTTCTTCAACCTCTGCTGGATCACAAAAAGGATCACAAAGGCGAAAACAAAGGTGTTGAAACGCCTACAGTACTGCCATGGTCACTATGTGATACAACCATAATCACTATGTCCCAACACAGTTAGTGTCCCAACATGTTCGGTCTTTGAATCCACACCCCATAACACCAACAAATACTCTTCGCCGATCCCTCCAAGACATCTCAAGCCTTGAGGCAGGTGTTCAACGTGATGACATTGGGCTGCAACTTGCTGGCGTTCATCTCCTGGCTGATTCGGCTGCTTCCAAAGGAGAGGATCGTAATCTTTTTCTTGCACCTTTGTGCAAGAACTTCTTGCCAATTCTTCGAAGCTTTTTGCAGGGTTGGTGTATATATATATATACATTAATATGTATATTACTTATATAATATATATATATATATATTTTTGCTTTGCGTGTTCTAACTGTTGATACCGTACGGTCACCGTCCACCGCGCACGCGCCTCCAAGAGCTGCAAGGCACCTGGCCAGTCACCTCGGGACAGAAAAAGCCCAGCCGGACAACGTGGCGGACGACGTCGTGGGCGGCTGAGCTTGGTTTAAACAGATTTGTGTTCGGGGATGCACCCACCAGGGATATTCTAGATCCTTCAAGATCCAAATCCGCGGTTTTACCATTCGGATGAGTCCAAGATAGTCCGAGATTCATTGGGATAGCATACAATACCCTTGGGTCCATTTTACATCCACTTCCATGCGACCTCGACCCGTCAGGTCGAAGGAAGGTGGATGCTTTCGGACACGGGTACGGGTCGACCTGTAAGTTTCCACACTCCATGGGACTGCCATAGGACTGCCGATCAGTTGGGTGGTGCCAGGGACTTATACTACATAAAGAGCCCCTATTTCCTTTCTGACATTCCCTTCGATTTCGGTCAAAGGTGCGGCATATGTTCCAGTCCCATTCGTCGTGCCTGGCTTTGCTTCTCCCACTTGGAAGTGCCATTCGCGCCCTCTGCGCCCGACTCGTGTACCCTCCCCGGAACTAGTATGGAAGTGGACAACCTGCATTCAGAAAATGTTCTTGCAGGGGGCCATGCCATCCAGTTCCATGTTCGTCTCAGGAAGTATCATCACCTTCACCTTCACGTGTCCCCAAAGGAACACACGCACGACGAGCTTACCAGAACATGTTCCCAGTAGCATCCCCCAAAAAAATCCATCACACCGGTCTTCAGTGTGTTTTCGATCGTGACATTCACCCAAGGTGATGCTGACATTTGCCACAATTTGGAAGTCAAGCACCCACAAACAACAGTTGAATTGCAGATTGCGCCTAGGACCTGTTGCCTTTGGTTGGTCGGATGACATGGTTCCATGCGAACGTGACATGGATGCTGGAGCCTCTGTAAGGTTGATGGATTCATTCACCTTGGACTCACAAGTCCCAAATGCGTTCGCTTCTGCCGAAACGAATGGCGTCTCCGCAAGTTCATACCGATTCATACCAGTAGTGTATGCACCAAAGAACCCCTCACAAAAATGGGGCAGACAGTGGATCTCACCCCAAAACGGGCATCATCATGATCTCCAACACCTCTCTCTCTCCCTCTCCGGGCTTGGCGGTCTCGCTGGGAATTCTCGTTGGGCGAGACGGAGACTGACTCACCTCGTGCGGTCGGGTGGCACTCCATGGCCGTGTTGAAGGTCACCGTGCTGGGTGCGACCTGCGCGGACGGCGGAGGAGGCCCCAGTGGGGGAAGCCAGTGAGAAACCCGCAGACGACCCGATGGCACGGTGAACCATGGTCCCCCCACAGGACGATTCATGACTATTCTCATGTACCACCCAATGGCTGGTCCTCTGCACGTGGGTAAGCTAGCCGTAGGCATCCGTAGGCTAGCCGTCAGCTAGCCACAATGAGCGTGTCACGTGTGCGCATGAAAGTGTGTGACACCACGCAGTCTCCAGCGGATTCCAACACTAGCGTAGCGGGGAAACCTTTTAGACTAACCGACCCGTCGTTCAGTCTCCGGTATGGTGGGGCCTTCCAACGGGCACGGCCTGGATACACACGTCCACCTGTCCGCATTGTTGGCGGTAGTGAAGAGACGACGCCCACGCTCAGCTCCGCTCAGCTCCGCCTGCTGTACGCGCATGCGTTGCAGCAGGGGCCCTGCCAAGTGCCGAGGGTTGCTCTTCATGATGCTGTTGTAGGTCACTGCGTCCGGCGCCACCTGACGCATTTGTGTGGGTGTGTGTCGTGCTCCAGCCTCCAATGGGGTGCAGCCATGGTTGGGAACACCAGCAATGGATCAATAGAATTCAATAGATAGATACCAGCAGATGCCTTTGGCTCTTAAAATTGTCTCATGCGCAAGTGGGAAACAATCTGCATATTAGATAGATCATAGATCATACTAAACAATCTATCCTGGTATCTCTCCTGTCGCCGACGGCTACGAGCGGGAGTTGATGAAGAGGTACGCTCTGTAGATGATGACTGCCCCGCGCTCAAGTGGTGATACAACCCGGGAAGCCAAGTTCAGGTTGATGTGAGAAGTCAAGGCGCCAATGCCAAAAGTAGGGCTGCGAACTGTGAGCAAGAAGGTAAAAAAGCCAACACTGGTGAGCATCCCATCAATGATCAGCGTTGATCAGAGTGACATAATCATCCACCGACTAGCCCTAAATTGTATTTTATGTGCGCTCCCTGGATGACAATTTTCCTCTACAAGGGGAGTCTGCTCAGCTCACACCAGGATCTCAAAAATGGATCCCTACCACAACTTAGTAGTGCTTAAGCTTCGAAGCCACCACCGTCCTGGGCACACACACACACACCAGGTCCCCTAAGGGATGATTAATGGACACCCCTTATAACCTCTAAGGGGCTATGATTAGATACCCCTGGCACAACCACACACGCACACACACACATATAATATATATATATAGACACACACACTACCTTCTGGGGAGGTTCTAGTTCCAGTCTTGGGAATGATTCCGGGAATAACCTCCTGACTTCCCGACTTCTGCCCGTCTGACGGCCTCGAGACCTTCCATGCATTCCAGCAAGGTGAGGCACATCCGCCAAGGCAACGAGCTCATCACTGAGTTGAAACTCACCACGTCCTGACACTGGGCGCTGTGCCAGCTGTGCGTCATGGCACTGACTTGAAACAAAGCTAAGAAAAGAAAGATCTCCTTCCTTGGCTGTGGTATTCCGCAGTAGCCTTCCCAACAAACATGCCGCCAAGCCTTGTGGGTTTGCATGGTTATAATGGCATCATTGCTTAAAGGCGTAGGAATGGATGATGCTGGCGTCCACCACGCCTGTCTCAACTGGAACGACTTTGGCATGTCCCAGAGAAGGCCCAGAGAGAGCGCCCACTGCTTGCTGCGGGCACATGCAGCGATGACCGTGTTGAGGCTGTAGATGTCTGGGCTAAAACAGCGGCTCAACAGGCCCAACGCCTGCGGAAGGTGCTTCCAAATGCCCCAAACAGTCCATGGGGCTGGATCATGGGTGCTTGCAGGCCTGAACTGTCGAACCACAACTGATCAGGCAGCTCCACACCGGTGCCAATGATCCCCCAACAAGTAATTAAACAGTTAACTACTCCTCTCCTAAAAACTATCTGTCACATCTTGGGTTCCAAGGACTTGCCCAAGACTCTTAAGCGTTGGTGGAAGACGTTTTGCCGCTGATCGCGCTGGGCGGTTTTTTAAAGAACACCTTCCCCGCAAGCTCTTGCTCTAAAGCAACAGCTCACCGAGATTCTAGCGCAGGAGGCAGGAGGCAAAGGTGTTCGGAAAGCCGATGACAATTCACAATTCAACATGAAAGGACCTTGATCGTCACCACATGTCAAAACAATGATGAGGTCTAAAGGATGGAGACAAACCCTAGGGATCCAAGTACCTTGTCAGGTGATTGGAGAATGCTGAATAAGCATGTAGGTTTGGAGGGTCCAGTCGTACCTTCTGAGGACGTGCTGGCATCCCTAGGGAAGGAAAATTACTAAATCACCAAGTCAAGTCCTACAAGAATCCCCCACGAAGAAGCTGCTCATCAAACGTGTACCGAAAAACGACTCACGACGCAAACATGACCACTGCGGCCGAAAAAACGTCCTCTCCCAAAAACGGACACCACGGAAACTTCACCGAAAAAACCCATGCCTGACGCCACTGCTTCCTCTGAGCATACGCCTTTAGGACCTGGTTCACCTCGAACAGGTCGCCCTTGAGCCCTTCGGGTGCTCCACTCCTTAGAACGAGGCGACCGGGGCGACTGGACCGTTGGAGCGTTGGACGTATGGCTGGTCCCAGACAGGACTCATGGGACTGCCATAGGACTGCCGATCAGTTCGGGTGGTTTTGGGGTCAATGTAGGTCCAGTCAGGGGAGTCCCATGGAGTGTATGGGGGTGCTGCAGGTGTGCCGGAGTGCCTCTTAGGCGTGATCTTATATACCTCTTGCTGTTCCACGGCGTGTCGGAGTGCCATAGCCTCACAAAGGCAGTTGGATGACTGTCCTGAAGAGCGGATGAGTGCTCTTCAAGACTCCCCCGCTTCAGTGCCGTTACTCCGCCCTGCCGCAGCGGAAGAACCACAAGAAGGTCCACAAGAACTGACCTGCACAATCAGGTCCAGGTCAGTTCTTGTGCAGGGTCAGATCTTGCATATAGTTAACTGTGGTCAAGAAGGTCCACAGTATAAGTGAAGGAAGACTGTGATTCACGCATACTATATATATATATATATATCTATCTCTCTCTCCTGCCGGGCCCCTATCAACATCGACGCTGGGTCCAGAAAAAGGTACCAAAACTATTTCCCATAACAGGTCCAAAGGCAAGGGAGACCGCGTGCAAAGGGAGCATGGTTTGACTCCTGCAATGTGGGAGTTTTCGGGCGCGCACCCAGTTTTAAAGAGATTCCAATGGACGATGTCCAGTTTGTTACGATTGTTCTGCCATCACCATCAGGATTCTTCGATGAGGTTTGAGGCTAAACAAGGGGGGGCCACTGACAAAACCACCTAAACATACCGAGAACCCTCAAGGAAGAAAAGTAGAACCATCAAACAAGGTTCATGCAAATCCCCGCCAGCCACCACCTTCTTCGGCGCCGCTGAGGGGTCTCAAGGCGCTTCCGCCTGCTTGAACGCCGGTGCTCGCGACGTGCTGTTTGGCTCGGGGTGAGGTGGTCAACTGGGTGGGCTCTTGACATGGACTTCTTGACATGCCCGCCAAGCCTTGGCCGCCAAGCCTTCTGCTTGTCATTGCTATAGTTATACTGGGTACTGATGACGAGTCGCCCTCTTCAGAAGGTGTGCCACTTGAGGTGTGTCTCAAACGGCTTTTCATTCATGACGTGGCATAGGTCTTTTGCCATGTAATGCTTTGCTGTGATTCTGCGTTCTTTTCACATCAGCCCACTGAAAGTGCCAGTGCCATAACCTTTCTGCAGCAACACCGTGGTGGTTCAATCTGTGACGAGCGATTAAGCTGCTGGAATACCCAGCTTCGCGCCTTCATCTCTACAGCTCACATATGCAGCCATGGCTGTCAGCAAGCAAAGATATAATCCAAGTTGAAGTTCCGAATGACCATCGGTCTGGGCAACACCAGGTGCTCAAGTTCAAAGAAGGACCGAAGGACCCCTCAAAAGTCAAGTGAACGTGTGCTCTGCGGGGTTGAAGACTCGGCCACAGGACCAACATCCGACGACTGAGGGGCCCAATAGTGCACAGCTAAGGGGAGTGGGTAGTGGATGGATGGGGCGAGAAGTCGAGCCGGGACGAAGCCAGAAAGAATCAATCACTTCCCCCACATGGATTAACATGAATACCTCAAGACCAGCCACACGCATCGCTATAACCAGTAGACGATCTGATCTGTTTTGACCCACACCGTGATTCTCGGGACAGCCATGCACATCTCATCTCGAATATCTCCCGCTGTTTTGTTCACTTAATTTTGAGCATGTGCCAAGCATGGCTTGAGCCGCCGGGCGCGTTGGGTCCTGAACATGGCAGAACATGGCGGCGCTGTGTTGCGAGGTGAGATATACCATGTCCGAAGGGAATCCATCTGCCGTCGGTGAACTTTGGTGAACTCCAACATACGGAACTCCAAGCGTTTGGTTTTCTGGGGTCCTTCTGTGAGCATCTGGTGGTTTTCATTACTCTACTGGGGTCCATGTAGATACAAAAAACTAGCTATACCAAATGCTACCACAAGCCCTTTCAATGCTTCCCCACCTCCCCACATCGTGGGTGTCTTTGAACGCTTTTCTCCACGACGAACTCGCGGCTTGGCTGCGAGTCAGGCTGGGTCGTCGCCCGGTCGGGCGCAAGGGCGCAGGGGCCACCCTTGACATACCGGGGGGAGGGGAAGTGTATCAACACACAGCCGGGCTGGCCGAACAAATCGATGCATCTTGGAATCATAAGGCACGTGGTGCGTTCCATGCAGAAATGTGTGCTGTCTTTCCTGCATGGTTGACAAGCAGGCAAGCAGGTAGGACTGTGTAGGAATAGAGAGGTTCCAACGAAAAAACTCGCTCCCAGATTGTTGCAGGGGTCGGCAGTAAATATTGATTAGGCCCCTGTATGCTATTGCTTGCATCCAATCTCCAAGAGAAGTTGCTGTGTTCATCCAATTCATTGGCGTCATAATTGCGAAAAGCCGTAGCCTCGGGGCATTCTGCGTGTACCCTTCTCTATCTTTCTCTATCTTGGGGTCATAGTCTCATAGTCAGGGACCCCTTGCAACAGGATTCCGGAATACCTCAACAATTGCCTCAATGTCTTTTGTGTGTTTTATGGCCCTTCCGCTCCCCAAACCGCTGCATCTCTGAGTGAACCTCGCGCATTGGATCGTTCCCCTCCAGGGGACTGGAAGTCGCTGAAATCGCTGCTTCTGCGAGAAGGGATTGATCGCCTTCCCCGAGCACAAAAATGATATATAGCTAAGCAGTTTCCAAGAACAGGTGGCCGAAATCGATGTTGAAACTGAAGGATCTCGTGAAAAGGGTCCACCGTGGACACTGGTCGAAGTTCCGGGAACATGTGCCTGTGTCAGTCTGTGTCAGTCTGTTTCTCCAGTCAAGCATCCAGGAGTTGACCAACCATGCAATTTCAATTTGTTGTGTACCTCGATTCGTCTTTGTCCTTGAAACATCTTGAAACCAGCGACGAGGGATTGAAGGAGATTGACATAACAGGATCCTGGGTATGAACAATGCCTGTCCCCAAGCCCAACCTCAGGGCGAGGTCAGCAGCTTGACCTATAACACGCATGTTTCGTGCCTGTCTACCAAGAACTTGCACCACGGCCGAAGGCCAGTCACTTGGAAACCGCGGGTTTCATGGATCAAAGGCCACCGGGCACTGCGGGCGTTGCTCGCTGTTGTGCACCATGTTGCGCCTCAGAAAACCTCGTGAAACCGGCTGATTACTGCACTAAGGCAACCGGCGGTCCTCTTGGCTCTTTGAACCATGACTTGGTGACACGAAGAAAAACATCAAATTGCATCAAATTGCTTTCAAACACTTCTCGCAAACTTCCACCATCTTCCACCTCCTCCCAACTCCCCACACAGATCCACAGGTTCCTTGCCGGAAGATCCTTAAACAATCGATCCAAGCAAAGCACAACCACTCGCGGGGGAGCTATTTGTGGGAAACAGGTGGAAGTGGTATTGCTTCCAACAATCCTCGGACATTCCAGTGTTTCATGATGTTTCATGTTTACATCGTGGACAACCGCTGACACCCCGTTCTAGCAAGCCAAAGAATCCTGGCTAGACACAGGGTCACAAGGACTGCTGCATTTCAGGTGGTCCCTGTAAGGACGGAGTTTTTCGGGCCATGTCCTCCGCAGGACACGCTACACACGCGATTGAATGAGGATGCTTCTCAACCAAGTTGAAAGGTAAGTCACCGCAAGTCCTTCATTTCATTGTGCTTCAGCAGCTGCTTCCTGACCATACCAAGACTAGATTCTCTCCCCTCCTGCTTTTTCTCCCTCTCTCTGTATGCCCCTGCTCTCGCCCAATCGCAAAGAATGGCGCAGAACCACAGAGAATTTCAAAGCTCATCTTGATTCAATTTGATTCAAGAGAATAGTATATATATATATATAAGAGCTTAGCCTCACTGCTTAGCCTTGTGTTCTCAACGTTTCGGGAACCGAGGAAAGGTTCACGTCTTCGGTCCCCGCAGAATCGCCACCCCCGTGTTCAGGCACAGCTGGCCCGGGCAACGCAGTTGCAACACTGGTTGTGCACAGTGGGGACTAAGGGGGACACCATTGGCAGCCCTATGTCAGGATTAAATGTGTATGTATATATATATATATCCTTTAATGTATATAGCAGTGGCAGCAGTAGTCATAATCTCTACGGCCATTTCACCCACTCTCAACCAAACAAAGCTGGATCGCAACTGATGACGTGTTTCAGACTCAGAGCTTCCAAGACGACTCATAACCCGTTCTCAAACCCAAATGCTCCATGGGACCGGCATCTATGCGGCCCCATTCGCCCCCAGGTCCAACTGATGGGGTCCGATCGCGCGACCCATGGCGCGAACATGTGCTGACTTGTTTCTCAGGTTGAGAAGCAGCCTGTCTGACGCCGAGATGATTCTTCTCCACTCAGTAGTTCGGGATGTTCACATATTCCGGGGCAATAGGTGCTGCTTGTTGCATACTGTCGAAACATGGGCCAATTTGCAGGATTGACGCAACCCAGAATGACCAACATGCGGGCGCAGTGGCCACCCCCTGTCAACCCATTCTCAGTGTCCTGGGCCTACCTGAACATCAAGGTGACTTTCAACCGACTTGTCGACCTGTTTGGGTTTAAAAGTTCTAGCCGATATTCGATCCGTCTATTTTCCCTTGAGGATACATCAAGAGCCACTACGGGTTGGCTTTAATAAGAGCCTCTACGTGCACTAACTGTGCACCCATCACCCGTTCCTGAGCGATCTTCCAAGCGCCTCCCTTTACATCTCGGAGGGCGGTCGACTGGAACTCTACGGCGCCATCGCGGGGAAGCTGTACGAAGCAAAAGCGGGCACGGGCATTCTCCGTTTTGTAGGACTTTAGAGGTACACTCCCTGGAACATTGAAGTGTAAAATTGGCCCCTTGGGCAAAGCTTCCGAAGACCATAAACACCGGATTCTGCTGGAAAGGCTTGCGCAGCTACTGCTCCACTCCCTTGGCAGTCCCCCATCTTTGCAACCGCAGGATGTCCTTCGCTAACCTACGACAGTTCCACCAACTCCCGCACGACCTGAGGTTAACTCAACCTCAGCACACAGGGTGGTTGCACGATGTTGTACGAAGATCCACATGATTGCATTCCTTCAGAGTTTCAGTGTCATGCCAAGTTGAAAATTCGCAGGCGCACACGGAAGGGGGCGGCCGACTGCGCACGACTGGGAAGGAGATCTCCATGCCACGGCCGGAGATCAGGAGAGATCCTGATCTTCATGTGTCAAGGCCAAACATCACAACTCCAAAGGGTGTTCAATGGAAGCCTATAGGTAGTGTGGGGTAGTCCATTGGGCACCCCGACAGGAGGGTCCTGGTATATATATATATATATTATACTTATATACACAACTAACTTACATATACCAGCAGATTCAATTGTGTGCTTAATGGAGGTTAGGGGTGCGGATTATCTAGGGACTAAACACAACCCCTTTGTGACCCCTGGTGTATACAGTATATGTGTGGGGTCATCTAGCTCATGTGTGGGGTCGTCTTCCCTCTTTCAGTGCTTCTCCTGGAGCTTCACCGCCGTGGTCGAAAATAGCGGAATGCCACATTCAAGTTTGTTTTAACACCTTCAAGTCTGCTTTTCCAGGGTTTAGATGCTACGTGTACATAGACATTCCTCTTGATCTACAGTACATTTCCTGTCATCCTCCCCGCGCTGGGTCTGATTCTTTTAGACCGCAATCCAGGGCCACGTGCTAATAAAAAGTACACATTGATGAAAGATTGGACAATGGTCTGTTCAACGATTGTGAGGACACTCTCACACGTGACCCCCTTTCTAGCCTGGCAGCGGTCGCCAGCTCATGCAGCTGCCCGTTCAGCGTTCAGCTTTCCCGGCCCGTGCAGCTGGAGGCTGGACGGGCTGGACGGGCTGGAGGGCTCGGGATCTACCTAGGATCCATCATCGTGCTCCTCTGGCTCATGACACTGCCCTGCCGGCGGAGAATCAAAATCCTGGGCGGGCCGGCGAACGTGGGTGTTTTTTCGAGCTCTTGGGGACGGATCTTGGGGGCTCACACGAGGGTAAAGAATCACGGGACACACACACAAGTATATGCAGTCAGCACAGCATCCCGATTGCAAGATTGGGGAGATCAATGTCTATTTGACCAAGTTGATGTTCAAGAAGTGCAATCCAAAATGGAATAGGCAGTGGGGTCACATGTCATGTCATGTCATGTCACACCCCCGCAAATTAAAATTGCAATTAAAACATGTGCATTGCAATAGGCAAATACCTCTCTATGTATATATACAATAGTTTATTAATGTGTTATATTATGTACAATATACTAAATAAAACCCGCGGACACAAATCCACA